ACTTTGTCACTTGTCACTTTGTCTCTTGTCTGTTACTTGTTTGTTAGTGCACTTTATGCTTAATACTTTTCTTTTTAACTTTTTAATATTTAAAATTTGTTTAACTTTATTCCCTTGTTTTTTTACTAACCCATAGCCTTAGCCTTATTCTTACTAACCCATTGCATTAGCATTTCATTCCACCTTATTTTATTACCTGTGCACTGTTGTCTTGTCTGTCTACTGTCGCGCACTAACCGCCAAGACAAATTCCTTGTATGTTTGACATATTTTGGCCAATAAATGTTTCCTGATTCCTGATTCCTGATCCTGATTGACGATTGTCAAAGCGGGACACACGCGGTGCTGTGTGTTGGTGCATGTCTGGGAATATGTGATGTTCTCACCTCTGGTGTGCTCTTCTTGAACTCACGGCTCAGGTCGATTAGTTTCTTCCTGGACTGTTCACTCTCGTCCTGTCTGTTGGCAAGCTGTGTGGCGGTGGCGTCGAGTTCTTTCTGCAACACAAAACACACACCTTATTATTGTTTTTGTTTTTTCGAGAGCGACACGGTTTGTCATACGTATTATTGTCTCGGTCATCATAGTTAGAATTAAGAATAACAAGACAGGAAATGTGTTTCTAACTGCACAACAGAGTCCTCGTGTCATCTGGCGTTCTGGAGACCACCCGTCCCGCCTCCGCTGAACCAGTACGTTGCCGCAGCGCAAGCGAGAGAGCAACACCACAAGGACAATGTGGCGGCAACGAAAACCAGTGCAAACCGAAGGGTCCATCGTGTAGCAGCGCGTTCTCCTCCATTTCGGCCCCGTCAGTCAATCAGCAACGGACCACGACAACTCTGCACATGGCTCAAAACCATTACCGACTGTCAACCCCCCCCTCAAAATAGCACCAGCGATTATCAGCAGTGTTGTCAAACTGAGTCATGGTCCGCCTTTATCCGCATCCATTTTGCATTGTTATTAATAGCCATTTATGGGACTTGTTCCAGATGATGGGCCAAGTGCTGACACTAACAAGGCGTTCAGGCCTTGTAAAGATTGTATCTCTCTCTGCTGAGTGTGTGAGAGTTGCTGGATTATGTTTCTGTTGGATTCTTGCCTCCTGTCATGCCCCCCCCTCCCCCCCTTACTTTTCCGTACCCTCTACAGATCACGCACTCCCCCGTCCAACCAGCAGTGCCGTCTCCTCTGCTTAAATCTCTCTCCTCTCCCTTTAGTCCGCCTCCCCCCTTTTCTTCTGCCCCCTCCCATCCACCTCCTGTGAGGCCGCCCACCCCTGAGAGTGATTAAACGCTGCTGAAGGGCCGTTATGCTAACTAACACACTAATCATTTAATACACACATTACCACAGGGGCCCTTGTGGCTCAGTCTGCTGACAAGGTCCCAAAACACACTCATGCACGCACACACACACACACACACACGCATGCACCCACCTCCGTGCATCGCCCACGCCTCCCCCAACACACACAAGAAAACACAACCCTCTAAAGAAATAGTGTGATCGAGTACTAATTAGGAGACCTCCTCCCCCCATCAGCATTGAGATCAACTCCCTGACCAGCTTTGATCTGGTTTTATCCACAAACCCTGAAAGAAAATGCGAAACAAATGTTGGTCGGCTGTCGTCCGCCGTGGATTTTAGACACAGTAGCACAGGACGTTTGGAGAAAGAAAAAAAAAGAAAGCGACTCTCTCGCTTACATGGCATCCTGCTCTAGCTGCCGATGGAGCAGTTGATGTAGCAGCCTGTCCGCCCGTGGCCATGGAGCAGCTGCACTATCTGTTAGTGAACTCGAGCGTGTGCAGAAGCTTGAGCAACGCTTGATGAGAGGAGGAACCTTATAAATTTTAATCACGTTAAATTAATTGTCAAAAAATGAATGCTCTAGTTCATGAATAGAGGTGTAATTATTATATCGGTAAAGATTAGCTACAGGAACAAGAATGTAAGGCCCAGTTGGTTCGAGATACTAACACCAACTGTGCAGACATTAATCAAAAATTTGATGCGTTAGGCCGGAAGACTAATCACCCTAAATCATTTAATAAGTCACTGGACCGCTGCCTGATCAGATTTCACAAGGCATAAGCAGTAACCAGGATAATTTTAGGTGCATCCCAAAAGCAAAGATATAATGGCGTCAATCATTCACGCTGTGCCCTTTAACACAAACATGATTTGTACATAAATTGAATTACTAGAGAAGTAAAATGGCACGAGTGACCGATTAGTACAGGATATTGATAAGAGTATGTGTGTCCTAAAACTAAGTGCATTCATTTGAAGAATAAAGCTTGAGAAAGATATGCAAGTTTGTTTTTCATTACTTTGTCCATATAATCTAAAATCAATTGGCTCTCTTATCTCAGCTGTAAGTATTTAACCTTCAACACCACAAGACTCTTAAAAACTATTTCATTATAAACCACTGGTCATGTTTCAGTTATTTGAATGAGAGAAGGAAATGTACAGATTGTATTGCTTTTTCAGTTGAAATACAATCTTTATTAACTTATGAGATTGCTTTTTAGTCTTTTTAATCATTTCTCCAAACGTTTAAAAAGAAATTTGACACAAAAAATTGCTTTATATAAATTGATGAATGAAATAACCAGAGTCCTGCACTAGGGTTATACTTTAAGAGGTCATGTGCCAATCCATGACGCCCTTGATTATTTCCAATCCCCTTCCAAAACCCTGCATACATCCCAATGTGCTACCAAATCCGCACCCCCCCCCCCCCACCCCCCCCACAAAAAAAAGAAAAAACCTCACTGCTAAGCTAAATAAACACATTACACATGAAAAGAGGATTGGTTCGATGCCATGTGGGGAAGTAATTATGGGGCATGGTCTCAGTTCAGAATAAATAAAAAAGACCCCTCAGACCCAGTCAGGTGTTGACTAAGCAGCAAATGCTCTGTCCACATCAGCAGACACGGGCAGACTTTACACTCATCTTGCTGATGGAGCGTAACATCCCACAGAGCACATTGCTGCCCGTCCCTTGTTCACACGCATCAAATCTTACTGACCATCGGGGGACCGATTCTATTCCCATTTTAAGCAGCACATGAGCATGATAGGTTGTCATATTTAAGTACCTTGGGTGAAATACTGAACAAATATTTTTGGATTTATGCTTCGCTGAATGCTGCTACATCGGTTTGTGGCTAAATTAACCCGGATTGACCCGTGCTCAGTTTATGTGTCCGAAAGAGACTCGAGCTGGAAAAAAGCACAGCCGGTGTGCTTTCGCTCACATTTGAGTTTGTTTCATACGATATGCTATTATGGAATAACTGCAATTCTTTGGAGTGAAGACTGTCAGTGCCCAATTGGTCCAGATACATGATCCGTAGTAGAACCCACATCGCAGTTTACATTACTGAAGTGGCTAAAGATAGCTGAAAATTAAAAAACCAGTGATCGGGAAAGGCAACATCTGTCACTATCCCTCCTAAAGTAATGGCAGTGCCGCTATGTGAGGATGGGCTGACCAAGGAGCCAAAAGAGACGTGGCATGTTTTAGTTTGAACAAAGAGGTTAACACAGCAAACATAGCAAGTCAAATATTGATATAAACACATATTGTTTTAGAATCATTGTTATGAATGCATATTCAGACAGTAAGAGAGAGTCATATTCAACATATGAGTTACATATCATTTGCATTGACAAGGATCCTTTCCTCAAGGGTTTATTCTTAATTTAAAAAGCCAGTGTCAAAACTCTGCTATTCTGTTAGCTCCATCAAGCTCCGAAATTGTATTTGGGGGGGGCTGTTAACTTTAGGCAAGGCTGCTCTACAGGGTCTCTGCCATCTGGCATACCACTGGGATATTCTTTCTATCCCGTTTCACATCAATGACTGACATCACGCTTGTTTGATAAACGGCACAAATAAACACGTTGGACAAGAAGCCCAGAAACTAATAAAGAGAGTAAAGGGAGTCCATATTTCCCAATGCATGACTAATGTAAGGAGAGGACATAATTAATTGCTGAGTGCAAATACCAGCGCTTGGGTTGGTGCTTCAATCGAACGCCTGAAGAGCACTGCGGAGCGCCGAACAACACGCATGAAGAGCCGGGCTGCGTGCTCGGGCCTTCGGGGCTCGGCCTCTGGAGGTCAAACTCTTCGGCTCTCCTTGGCGTCGACTTTGAAAAGGGATTCACTTTTTTCAGATCCGACGACTCTTCAATTGACTGGTGAATCAGTTCATTTAGTTAATTCATCGTGTACGTTCGAGCGCTACTTTTAAACGCGGCCATGGCCGGTTAGGAGCGCGGCGTCAGAGGATGGAACATGGGGGGTGTGCAGGGGAGCATTAAGTGGGCTGTAATGTCTGTGTGATTGCTCCAACAGCCCCGCTTGGCTTGGCTGGACTGGCCCACAGCAGCAGTCCCTGTCCTGGTTCATTTGGTCGTCTGGTCAGCTGTAAAGACGATTGGAACAGATTGCCAACACTCCCTAGAGAGACTTCAACACCGACTTGGCCAAGAAGCCCCCCCCCGCCCGCACGCTGCTCCACGCGCGTGTGCTCTCACATGGATGCACAGACAGGCCGCTGTACTGACTTGGGGAGCCCAGTCTTTCCACATTCTTTTGAACTCTGTTTCAGAAAAAAAAAAATTTGAAAAAGGAGAGAAAGTCTGCTAACATGTTCGTCCAGTGAAATTTCGCAGGGGGGAGCCGTGTTCGCGGCGAGGAGGGGAGGCCGGGCCAAATGGAAAGAACCATCTCTGCCACCCCACAACTGTGGAAATAATGTAAATCGCTGATAAAAGTCACGGGTAAATAAGTCTCACTCCCACTGGTCATCAGACCCACGGCGTGTTTGTGTGTCTCCATCTCCCCTAATGAAATCCCTTCCACCCGTCTGCTGGCGGAGAGAGGACTTCTATCTCACTAATTTGCTCTAATTACTCTAATGAGCCACAGGTGATGATACAGTGAGGCTGATTAATTAAATAGGAGGCGCCAATCAGGCATGTCTGATTACGCCAATCATATTGACTACCGGCTAAATGAGATAACAGGAGACAGACGCACTTTAATTGAGGTATCAAAACTTCCACGGAATTCCTTTCGGCCCCTCGCACTCGGCCGCCGCCACTGGATCGGCTGGTGGAATGACAACAAAGTTATTGTTATGTACACAGTGTGAAGTCAATCTGCAGCTGCCGCCTGTGCCTGCCCGCGGTGACCGGGGGGGACGCGCAGGGGAGAACACCACACATGGGTTTGCTTCAGACCTCATCCCCTGAGGGATAATTGGGACGGGGACCAGTGGAAACGCTCTGTTTACACCTCGCCGGCAGTCACACATGCCAAGCCGTCTGCCACTACTCCTTTAGTCCAAACACAATGTAGGTGAACTGCTCCTCAGTCGCCGCATGTTGTACACATTCATCTGATGGAGGAGCACTCTTGAATTCGTGCCAGGCGCAGGGAGGGATGGACAGAAACACATTTGCTTCT